TTATTGTAAATACAAGAAAATAGAAAAAAAAAAATAAAAAATCAATACATATGAAATACATATGAAATACATATGAAATTAAGTGGACCTTCACTGTTTCTGGATCTAATAACTGAAAAAACCAATTTTAAAAAAATCGGACAGAATTTGGGATGAATATTTTACTGCAGTTGGATGAAAATGTGGTTTTCTATCGTCAAAATATAATGAATTAACTAATTTCACTATTGAGGACTTAAATGCTGGAGGATATACAATTCATTCTTCAACAAGAGTTTTTTCGGACATTAAAATATTTCTTTACCACGGGTTTTTTTCAGACATTAAAATAAAACATCACGTTTTTTTTTAAACAAAAGGATCTGTTAAAAATAAAATGCAAACTAAAGAATAGGAATTTATAGATAATCAAATAAGTAGCGACGGACAAGGTAAGGATATACAAAGAGGTATTGTATAACCTTGAGAAAAATTCAAACTAGTTAAGAATAATACTTCCTAAACTGTTTAGTATATAAGATTAAGTATTTAAGATGCGAAATTATAGAAAATAAGCGAGTTGAACATTTGTTGTTTAGTGGATGGACACTAAAACAATATCTCATCTAGAAGTTGACGATGATCAATACAAACCTTTAAGTGGATCGCGTATATATACGTTCACCACAAACAATATTAAAATAGTTATTGAAGACGAGGATCAATCAATATTACTTTAAATGGTCAGTAACATCTGCTCTATATCCGTTCAATATTAAAAATAAAGAAAGATGTATGTCATATCATATTAATGATATCAGTTCAGATATCATAGAGCTACAAAATAATATCAAAATTAATTTTAAATATAAAAATTAATATAAAAAACTTCGAAATTAATAATCTTGAAATAAATGTAAAGGTATTTGGGTTAAATAATAATAATAATATAATAGGACCATATTATTCTACAAAAGAAGAAAAGTGTAGGTCAGGAGTTTATGTTGTTGTTTACTATAAAAAATTGTGCGTAGAATGTGAGATAAGAATGGGTCAAGAGTTTTTTAAATTCTTATAGAATTAAAAAAATGAAAAAGTGTTGATAAATGTTGACTTTTTGTAAGGTATATAAATGCCAGCGAAATGGAAAACATCTTTATAAATTCAATTCAACACACACAAGAAACGACTCAAAAATGGAATCAAAAACTGATGTCATTTGCTCCAAATGCAGTAACGAGATTGTAGATAGGGACTACATCTACAATATAATGCAGAAAACTGGAGATCAATTTGGAGAGAGATGTTGGGAAGCGCCGGAGCTGCTTCGGGCATATTGGGAAGCAGTGGAGGAGTTCAAAGCGCATCCTGAAAACGAACGGCTACTCAAAAGAATCGCGAAAATAGTTCTAGTTTTTCCAACTTATGGTCATGAATATAACATTGGTTATATTCATCCAATTTTTAATTATATTAGTTGCAAATATTAATAATTTTTTATAAATATATAAATGTATATAAAATAAGAATAAAATAAGAATAAATTAATAAAATAAATATTTGATTTTTTAATATTTTTTATTGTTGAGGAAAAACAATAGTATATATAAAAGTTTTATTTAAATGTATAATTTTTACATTTTGTTATATTGTAGTAAATGTTATAATAAAATGGCATGAGTTTCCTTGCTTCTTCTTCCTGTCTTTGTTTTAGAAAGCAACAGCTGCAGGTGTCTGGCCCAGATATAGCATTTTCACTTGACCATGCACAATCTTCATAATACTTTTAAATTATTGATTGTCTGTATAGAACATATTGAATGATGGAATAAGGTTGTGTTTAATGACGGATCTTCATATGAATCCAGTAGTGATGTTGGATCTTCTTCAGAGCGTTAATAATTTTATAAAATGGTCCAACAAGAGTGAATTCTTTTCCACTAAGCACATAAGCAATTTGCTGGCTCTCCGCAATGACATCATTGCCTCAGATTTAATAAAACCAAAAAAGCAAACAAATATAACTGAGAATATGTCACGGAAATATTGGTTTTAAACTTGCCGAATGTGCCGTCTGCGTCTCCATTAATTTTGGTTAATTTTGTTGGCTTGAAACATTATCGCAATTATTTTTACTTTTTTTGATACAAAGGTTTCTTTAATACACTACATTTTTATTTAAAAAAATATAATATGTACATGTAGTGTAATTGAAGTTTTCTGCAAATGTAAGTAGCTATTACTAATGTATATTATTTTTAGCAAGTGATAACAAATCTTTTTTCTTCTCAGTTCCAACTATAAATTCAGTGGTTTGAAGAAATAAAAACATTCAATCAAAAAACAATGGAGCAATATACGATTAAGGACGACTTTCATTATTTCACCATCTCTGAAGATGATTCTGAAGACGAAGCAAAGCATATTGTAAAAACTAATATTTGGAGGGAGAAACTTTGTCAACGAAATTTTGAACAACAGTTGAACAGATCGTATACAGAGGGAGCAAATAATAGTAATGATGATCATAATGATGACGCTAATGAAATCAATGTACAAATAATCTACAACACTGATATTGACACAACACTTTATCCAATCATGGAGGAATCTGATGACGATATTCATAAACAAAAAGAAAGTAACAATATCTTCACTAATAATAGATTTCACCCTCTTTCTTCTCCTCCTAAGCGAACTCAAAAAAGAATAAGACTGCAACCAATATACATATATATAAATGTTAATAAAAAAAATATAACACAAAAAATTTTAAATACACCTCCACGGCACACATCAAAACCAAACGGGCTCAAGCGGATCAAATGATAGACTCATCATCAGTAAAAAAACTCAATATTAAGAACAAAGTGAACATATAAAAGCAAGTCATAAAACCAGTCATACTCTACGGCTATATGGCGTTCTATCAAGCGACAAATTTCATTACGCAACAGTTTCAAAGTTCCAAAGAGGGCAAATTATAGCACTAATCCACATAACATCAGCGGACATCCACAGAGACCGGAGAACCGAATCAGTTGAGAAGTATATTAAGGATCGTGTACTGAAACTGTTAGACACAATAGATAACTATAACAACACAACAGTTAATAGCCTAAAATCAAGAGATCACTGTAATCAGTGGTAGATATAAAGACTTCAGTTCGATTATCACATACGTAAATCCCACGAATTTACGTGTCTTTAGTGAGACACAAGATTGTCCACAGTTAAAATGGAGTGAAAGTGACGAATCACCAACTCAATAGCACACTCATACGTAAGTTACTTAGAAGTAACTTTCCACATTGCAGATCTGAGAAGTGTCATAAAACTAGTAAAAAATAAAATATTTTTTTTATAATAATGAATGGATTCATTCAATGAATTGAACGTCTAGAAACTGTCACTCCCAGTGAATCTTCGCTGGCGTAACCAGATATCTATGTCGCCAGTTAGTTATTAAACAACAATATAATAAATGATACACGTTCTTTGCTGAAAATATTAATCTACGCACCGTTTTTAAATGTAAAATTAATAAGACAAAAGAATCAATTGAAAACAAATATACAGTAGGAAATCGTTTACTCCAAAATGAAAACCGAGACTTCATCAGGAAGTTAGAAAAATAGGAGAAATCTCATGCGCAATTTACACTCAGTCTAGCTGAGAGTAATAAAAAAATTGACATCTTACAAGATCAGGTCAAGAACTTGAAACTTAAGGTATATTTTCAAAAGGAAAAATTAGAAGATAGTACACAACTTTTAGAGAGTACTAAAAAGCATCTAGAATGGACCAACGCAAAATTAATTAACTTCTCATCTGCTCGAGAAAGCATTAAAAATTTACAGGCCCATCGACCTCCAGCTATGTTGCGGTGAATGAAACAACTCATATTTACAAATGAAAAGGAACAAAAAATACTAAACCTTAAACTTGAGAATACCGCAATACTAACGGAATTGGGGTATATTTTTCATTCAGTTGTTACGAAGTTGTTACAGAGTCCACAAATCTTGTAAAAAAGCTAAACAAGCGATTAAAGAAACAGAGCTGCGAACTTAAGTTGAAGTATGAGAAGTCGCTAAATGGAAGGAACTTAAGAAACTTGACTCACGAAAAGGGTCTCGAGTTCATCAGTGGAATGATCGACTACTGCAAACACGAAATCAAAACATGCAATGGGAAAACGTACGAAGTTGAGTTCAAAATTATTTTATAATTGTACGCTACTTGGTGCTAACCCAGATCCTTAATCTGTGTTAGCTTGGTAGCCAATTTTTATGTGTAATGTAGTTTGAGCACTTGTAACCCAAACTACTTGTATTTTCTATTTTGGTTAGTTTGAGCACTTGAAACCCAAACTAACCGATGCGAGAAAGTAAGAAAGTTATAATTGATTTTTCTTTTCCTTCTGAATTTTATTAACATAATTTCTTATATTTATACAAAATTATTTGATTAACAAGCTATTAAATTATGCATTAATTGACAATAAATATTAATGCATAATTCACAAATAAATAAATTTGCCTACGCTGTGCTGACATAATTATAGGCCAACATATTACACACTTTCTTCAGTGCATTGACCAACAAGAAAAGCTGATAACGCAAAATTGCACTTTTCGTTGGTCAATGACTGGTTGCAGTGTTGGCCCAAATAATATGTAAACACATGTAAACAAATAACAAAAAAAACAAAAATATTAAATAATATTAATTAAATGCAAACACAAACATTCTCCCCGCCGTTGAGTGCCAACTCAACTTGTCCTAGGTTGTGGTCACAGTGAAGTCCAAATTTTGTTGACGTAATTCTGCATTCTGCATATCATTTCCTTGTGTTGAAATTTCGCTTATTGTGTGTTTCTGACATCTGTTATGTTTGGTTTTCCAAGTAATGATTATTATTATTGTTATAGAAATTAACAACGCCAAATAACTTATCGTATGATGATGAATACTGTTTAGTCGCACTCTAGAGGGAAGATATGTCAAGTTTTCCTTAATTAGCTGGTTTTGTAATTCTTTTTAGGTGGCTCGTCTTGATCTGTGCCTTCGTGTGGTGTTTTCGAGTTCGCCTTTGGAAAAACCTTTGAAAGTTGTTCATCAGAAGCAGGAGATTGTTCATCGGCTGGAAACAGAGGTGCTAATCTTGTCAAAGGACGTTTTAGAGTTCCTGATGCCATTTTAACATCAACCACGCGAACTAGACCGTCATCTCCCTTATATACCTTTGCAATACGTCCAAGCGGCCATTTTAATGTAGGAACATTATCTTCCTTGATGATTACAAGAGTACCTTCTTTTATATTTGGATTGGCTGCTTTCCATTTGTGTCGACATTGTAGTTCAGTGAGGTACTCGGTTTTCCAACGTTCCCAAAAGTCCAATTTGAGGCGAGAAACTAATTTCCACCTTGTCACCAGATTTATATTTCCTGATTGGGCCTTTGCATCTGCCATTGCTGTGAGTGGTTCTCCGATTAAGAAATGACCAGGTGTTAGTGCTGACAAGTCATTCGGATTACTCGACATAGGTGTCAATGGTCGAGAGTTCAGTATTGCTTCGACTTCTAATACCACAGTCTCTAGTTCCTCATATGTTAGTGAAGTCGTCTTAGTACTTCGTATCAATAAGTGTTTTGCTGATTTGACTGCTGCTTCCCACAGTCCACCGAAGTGCGGTGCACGAGGAGGTATAAATTTAAATGTTATTCCTCTTTCATTACATTCGTTAATTATCTTCTCTTGTGCCTTGCTTGTTTGAATTGAGTCTGCAAGTTCAAGTAATTGATTGCTTGCTCCCACGAAGTTTGTGGCATTGTCACAAAACAAATTTTTGCAGTGTCCTCTTCGAGCAACAAAACGTTTCAGCGATCCGATGAATGCATCTGTGGTTAAATCGCTGACTACTTCGAGATGAACTGCCTTAGTTGTAAAACAACAGTACACAGCAATGTATGCCTTGTGTGGTTTCTTGTCTCGGATTCTGTAATGTATCCAAAAAGGTCCGCAAAAGTCCACTCCAGTGGTGAGGAATGGTCGCCCAGGTTGTACTCTTGTCGCTGGCAAATTACCCATCAGTTGTTCATAAAATCGTGGTCTTACTTTAGTACAACGTACACAATGTTGTACTACTGACCTTGCCATCAACTTGCCCTTAATTGGCCAGTATCGTTGACGCATGTTAGCTAGGAGAGACTGCGGACCACAGTGCATGTATTTCTTATGGACTTGTTCCATTATTAATTTGACAATGGGGTCGTTATAAGGCAACAACATAGGATGTTTGGCGTCATACGATAATGAGGCTGCATCCAACCGTCCACCAACTCTTATGATGCCTGTATTATCAATAAAAGGTGCCAGTGATGCCAATGCACTGGACTTATTTATTCTTCCATCAGATTTCATAATTTTGATTTCATTTTTAAATTCTGCATATTGAATGCTTTTGATGATGACCTGATGTGCTGCATCTAGATCATCTGGAGTCAAAAAATTGCTTGAATGATCATTTTGTTTTCTTCTGGTTCTTTTTACGAATCTTAATATATACGATAATATCCGTTGAAGTCTTCCAAATGAGTTGTTGTGTCTTATTGAATATATGAACTCTCCAGGATTTGCTGTGCCTTCAACAACAGACAATGTAGATACTGGAGTTTCCTTCTTCCTTTCAGGATCAATGAGGGTTTCGGATTTTAACGCTGATGATGGTTTTGAAGGCCACAGTTCTTCCCGACCATGCAGGAACATAGGTCCATAAAACCACATACTTGATGACTGTAGTTTATGGGGTGCAAGGCCTCTTGATAAAATGTCAGCTGGATTGTGTTCCGAACTGACGTGGCGCCACTGACTTGTGGCTGTTAATTGATGAATGTTGCTTACTCGGTTTGCAACGAAAGTGTGAAACTTTGATGATGGAGAGTTGATCCATGATATCACTATTTGTGAATCACACCAAAAGAACGTCTGGTAATTTCTTATTTGTAGATCGTTCTTTATTCTTTTTGCTAGTTCTGCGCCAACTACAGCTGCACAAAGTTCGAGACGAGGTAATGTCAACCTTTTCAAAGGTGCAACTCGAGATTTGGCGCACAATAGTCGTACAATAATTTGACCATTCTGAAGTGTTGATCGCATATACGCTGCAGCACCATATGCCTTTTCTGATGCATCTGTAAAGATGTGTAATTGAATGTTGGCAGGAACTTCACCCTTGAAAATATGACGAGATATCTGCAGACAATTTACTTTCGTCAAATTGTTCCGGAACTCTAACCACTGTTTATGTAATTCAGTCGGCAGTTTTTCATCCCAATCCATCTTTAAATTCCATAATTCTTGAATAAAGATCTTTGCCATCACCACAACTGGTGACAAAAGTCCTAGTGGATCAAATAGCCTTGCTAAATCTGAGGTTGCACTGCGCTTCGTCGTGCTGCAAACAGGTTCCAATTTAACCTTGACGCATAAACTATCAGATTTTGGACACCAGGATAACCCAAGAGTTTTTGTTGTATCGTTATTATTTTCTAAATCTAAATTGACTTCTAAGTCATCGTGTGGAATTCCTTGTAGTAGACTTGGATGATTTGCGCACCATTTTCGCAATTTAAAACCGCTTGCTGTCAGTATTTTGTTTAATTGACTCTGAGTTTCCAACAATGTTCTCAGACTATCTGCGCCGTGTAAACAGTCATCTACATAGAAGTTTTGTTTGAGAGCAGATGCACCTAATGGATAATTTTGCATATTGTCATCAGCTAAAACTTGCAAACATTTGGTTGCTCGATACGGTGCTGATCTAGTACCATATGTTACTGTGTTGAGTTCAAAGTACTTTATCGGTTGACTTGGTTCATTTCTCCAAACGATAAGCTGACATTGTCTGTCTTCTGGATGTACAAGTATTTGTCGGTACATCTTTTCAATGTCTGTTGTAAACACATAACGAGGAAGACGGAATCGTAATAAAATAGATAGTAATTCACTTTGAACAGTTGGTCCGGTGTGTAGTAAATCGTTGAGAGATTGCCCTGATGTTGTTTTGGATGATGCATCAAATACCACACGTAACTTGGTGGTGGTACTATCAGGTTTAAGCACACAATGGTGTGGTATAAAGTAATGTGGTGACATAATCCTTTCAATATCTATTTCGGTCATATGTCCCAATTTTTCATATTCATCTAAAAACTCTACATATTGTCGTTTGAGATGACTATCCTTTGAAAGTCTACGCTCTAGTGCTAGAAATCTATTTGTAGCAATGTCTTTCGAATCTCCCAAAGCGAATCTGTCATTTATAAAAGGAAGACGAACGATGAATCGTCCCGTAACATTCTGATATGTAGTTTGAGTGAATTGAGCTTCACATTGTTGTTCTGCTATTGACAAGACCTTTGAGTGAGTATCGACTTCTTCAACCTTTCAGAGTTGTTCTATTGCATTTTCTAAACTATCTTCTGATGCTATTCCACATGTTGCAATCATTGTGTTAGCATTTTGGATTTTTCCAGATACGATCCATCCGAGCACAGTGTTCTGTAGAATTGGTAGTTCCCTTGAAAGTTGTATTTGACCAGGACTTAGGAGTTGATGATAAAATTCTGCTCCAAGCAACATATCAATTTTGTCAGACTTATAGAATGTAGGATCTGCTAATTGGATGTTATTGGGCAGATTCCAATTTGAAATTTGTAAGTGTTGCGATGGTTGATTGGATACAATTTTTGGCAACACAAATGCTTCAAGTATTGTTTTGTAATCGGTCACTTTTGATTGCACAGAAAGTGTTGTACGACTTTTTGAACTCAATTTACCTATCCCTATGCCTTCGATGCAAATCGAACTGGAGCTTACTTGCAGCCCCAATCTGGATGCCAGTCGTTCAGTCACAATATTTATTTGTGAACCTGAATCCAATACTGCTCTGCACTCGACTGTTCTTCCATTAGAGTTGGAGGCTAAAAGTTTTGCTGTTCCCAAAAGAACGCAACTGGTATGACCATGATTGATGGACGACATTAGAGTTGTTTGTGCAAGTGGCCTTGAAGTGTTTTCAACTGACATATGATTTGATGGTTGAACTGGGTGTCTATTTTGATGCAACAGTGTATTATGTCTTCTTTGGCATATAGTACAACCCCTGCTGGAGCATTGTAATGCCATATGACCAGGTTTCATGCAGTTTGTGCACAATTTATGACGTTTTAGTAAATCGTACTTCTGTTGTATGGATTTACGTTTGAAAGTTTCGCATGAAAATAATTGATGACTACTATTGCAAGTAATACATTTTGATCCTGAGTCTGTAGCTGCAAGTGCTACTGCTGGATGTCGTGGTTTGTGACTTTGTTTGTGGTTTCCATTCGTCATCGATTCGAATGCCTGAAATCTTCCTTCTAGGAACCGCAATAATTCTTTTAATGAAATTATTCTTCGGCTGTCTTCTAACGATTGCTCGAATGCTGTATGTGAAGCTTTGTCTAGCTTTCTAATAATCACGTGAACCATTATGGCGTCCCAAGATTTAACATCAATACCTTGAGCTGCTAATCCATAATAACATTCTTTTGTAACATCATGTATGCCCTTAAGACTGCTTGCTGATTCAATTGTTATATTTGGTTGTGATAACAATTTATTGAGTAATGCTGTCACCAAGAGTCGTTTGTTGTCATACCGATTTGACAGAATATCCCAAGCTATATTATAATTTTGCTCGGAAATTGGCAGATGCCGTATGAGGGCTTTCGGCTCACCCGCCAAATTTGTAGATAAATGGAACATTTTGTGGGCTGCGCTTATTGATTGATCATGGATCAATTGTTGGAACAAATCTCTAAATTCAATCCACTTCAAATAGTCTCCATCAAATGTTGGTAAAACTATTTTTGGCAGTCTGATTTGTTGAGTTGCTGCAGGCCCCTCTGATGTCAATCCTTCAGTTGGTTGACTGTGTTGTTTTAAATATATTAACGCGTTTTGGGCATCTTTATCCGTTGAATAATATTGATCCCATGTATATCCGACGATGTCTTCTGCGTCGGCTGATGACCATATTTCATCATTGTTATCCCTCAGATCCTTCTGATATTTTTCTATCAGAGAATACTTCAGATCATAATAACTAGCATGATGTTTTATGGTTATTTCTTCATATATTTCATCTATGCTTGTGCGTAATGCATTCATTAATGAGGATTGCTTCTGCATGGTTCGCATGAGCGATGTAGTATTATTTGGCCCTCTTGGGCTTATTACTGGCTTCCCGTCCTGTGGTTTCAGGAGTAGCCTTGATTTCTCCAGCTTGAATCTTTCATCATATGTGACTACTAGATTGGAGATTTTTTTGAAATAGTCTGCACTGAAATACTCATTTTGAAGTTCAGATTGTGGCAGTACTTTGATTTCAGCATCATTAGATTCGAAATTATCCCACAACGTGTTTAGTTTATTTAGCCGATCTTCATAATATGTGGTATCCTGCTTGCGGGTACTAGAATCCTTTTTGAAATTGGTTATCAGTCGCTCAATTTCTGTACCGAGCTCTGACTGCTTCTTTAATAACGCATCCATGGCGATGTTTGAATTTTCGGTCCGAAAATTCCAATGAATAAATACTTCAGCTGGTTACTGAGTAGACCTTTTGGTGTATCCTTTTGTAGGTAATTGACTCCTTTGATATGTATTTCAACAAAATGAAAGCTGATATTTCATCAACAATCACGTCGGGCTCACCAAAAAATGTACGCTACTTGGTGCTAACCCAGATCCTTAATCTGTGTTAGCTTGGTAGCCAATTTTTATGTGTAATGTAGTTTGAGCACTTGTAACCCAAACTACTTGTATTTTCTATTTTGGTTAGTTTGAGCACTTGAAACCCAAACTAACCGATGCGAGAAAGTAAGAAAGTTATAATTGATTTTTCTTTTCCTTCTGAATTTTATTAACATAATTTCTTATATTTATACAAAATTATTTGATTAACAAGCTATTAAATTATGCATTAATTGACAATAAATATTAATGCATAATTCACAAATAAATAAATTTGCCTACGCTGTGCTGACATAATTATAGGCCAACATATTACACACTTTCTTCAGTGCATTGACCAACAAGAAAAGCTGATAATGCAAAATTGCACTTTTCGTTGGTCAATGACTGGTTGCAGTGTTGGCCCAAATAATATGTAAACACATGTAAACAAATAACAAAAAAACAAAAATATTAAATAATATTAATTAAATGCAAACACAAACAATAATAATATATTTAAAATTAAAGTTTAAGAAGGAACATTAGGTATCCCCATCTTAGTTTCAATAGTTCATAATATAATATAAATCATAATAATATTCAATCTTATATATATTTCTTGCTTTTATAATGTGATATAATTTCTTATGGAACTATTTTGTAGAGATTTGGAGTATGTACACTGATCTCAATGGAAAGGAAAAAATTAATGTAACAATTTAATAATAATAACATTTTATCAACAATTTATTTATGATTAATGTGTTTTTATATTAATTTCTTCGACTTAAACACAAACCCTGGAATATTTATTTTAAAGGGTTGCATTCGACATTTTTCGCCTTAAATTTATAGACAACCAGCTCATTTATAGGAAAGATTTTTGTATCGTAAATCATATATAACCTCATTAGTGATTATAATGAGCAAAAGCGCCTAAATGAGGCAGTGTGAATATGCTATTAGTCTGTTAACAAATTCAGAAATTTCTAGTTTTGTCAAATCGACTTTAAAATGGTTGAGAAGAAATGTTTGATATTTAAAAATCTCGTTCCGCTAACACCGCATCTCAAAAATTCATGGATAACACTGAATAATACTCATTAAAGAGAACCAGTTTTTATACAAACAGTCGAAATGTAAAATTATTTTTCCAAATTTTATTATTTGTAATTATCATTATATTAAACATGTATGTTGTATTATTAGTAAAAGACGTTTCCTATATAAAATCATTTCATTTAATAATAATGAATAAATTTTGCTGTTCCAAATACATTTAATATAACAGTTAGCTTCAATAGACTACCGGTATATAAATTATAAATATGAACCGATTATAGTAAGGAACCCTTTGAAATATCCAATTTGAATAATTAAATCTAGAAAACACAATTCTGATGCACATATTTTGTGTAGTTGTACTGTTGTGTAGCGAGAAAATAAATTGGAAGAATATAGATCCTACATATAATAAGATAATTATAAAATATAATTTTTAAATTGATATTTTGTGTGTTTAAAAACAAATATGCCAAAAAAAAAGAAACAGTTGAAGCAGTTCGATATGGGAGACTTTGTCTCTGCAAGACACCAAGGCTATGCAGCATGGCCTGTTAAGGTAATAAAGTGCAGTAGAAAGTATTACAGAGGTTTTGATATGGAACTACAGACACGGCAAGTATTAAAGTTGAAAACATCTTAAAGTATAAAGAAAATAAAACGAATTCTGCACTGACCGACAGAATAAAAGAGTTTCTATTTCTGCAAGGCAGCTCAACAAATTGAAGCGGCTTTAAAGAGCAAAGATTCTACTCCAATATTTTTACATCTAGGAAGAACCAATGTGCAAAAGATGTACAGGGTGGTTATACGTTTGAAATAGACCATAATGTCGTTATTAAATTCAGTGGAATTTTATCAAAAAAGTTCACGTAGTATCGATATATTTTGAAATTCACTTTTGTCATTCAGATCAAAAATATATAAGTCAGCAACGCAAACATTGAAGTGCTTTAGATTTACCAGTATCAGCAAGTAAATTATTTTTTAATAAATATTATCATCCTCAGTTTAATATATTAATTGTGAAATATTAAACAATAAAATATAATTTGTAATTGGCTTCCAGACATTACGTCAGCATAAGATCATATTTCTTTTTTTGCATTCTTATGCCGGAAGACGTGCTCTGCCGTACTTAAAAACCAATCAATTCAAAATCAGTTTGTTAAAGCCCGACATATGGAGGGACCCTAAAACTCGTCTTTTAATTTTTGAATAAAGTTTTCATAATCGGAAAAATATTTACTAAATAACAATTGTAAGCCGGACAATTGTTGTCTTATATTATATTTCTCCTTCATTATATCCTTCATTCATTTATTTTTATAAAGTAGATT